TGGGTGCTATTTCTTCGTCACTCGTCATCGATGCTAATGGGGTAGCGCCAGGCATAGCCTCACTATCGAACCCCTCAATTTTCCGCCTTCAGCAACGCTCCGCCGTCCTACATTCTCATGTTCTCGTGACTCTGCTGCTAGATGAACACGCTCCTGTACGATGCCAACGTACTAAAACGAGTCTATCCTTGCAAGACACCACGCGACACAATCTTTTTAAGCTCCTCGTCATCGCTATCTCCATCGCCGCTAGCCATAGCCCACGCACTGATTACTCCCGCCGGTTGCTCGACGTTTCTCTACAAGAGGCGAATGATGCTCACGACTCCGACGAGAGCGTAATCCCTCCAACATGAGCTCAAAATCCATATAAGTCAGCTCACCATGAGAATGACGAGCCATGAGATCCTCCACTAGTGCGCGCAAACTACCGGCATTAGCTTTCACCTCCTCCGTACTCATCCTCTATGACGCCTCCAAAAGGTACCACCAATTAAAATAAATTGTCCTCCATTCAAATCCCTCGTCGTCACCTCATAAGGGTACCCAGACGAGTATAAATAAATTACTAAACGCCCTGTCCTTACGTCCGGGACGTAACTGGAAGGAAATAAATTAAAGAACAACTTGAACGAAGAGGAGCCTATTGCAATCGCCGCAATTGTCAAGGCAAGTATACGAACGCCAATGATATCGACGACGGAAAAACTATGCGTGTTCATTCCACAATCACCGCACCACAAAGGAATATACTAGAGAGCGCTGCGACTGCGAGAGAGCTTTAGCAATCATGACAGTGTTGCACTAGCAATTCGGTAACATTTCGATAGAGCTCGTCTCCAATGACTTAGTGAGAAACCAAGTATAGATTGGACTTCACTAGAAATATATTATGTGTCAAACAAAAGCAAACACATAAACAGATATAGATATACTAGGCTACATGAGAGTTGCTCAAAGTGACGTGGTGTTGCGGGTAACCCAACCACATGAAAGTGTCATGTGGGTGGAAGAACGCGCCTCGTCGAATTCCAACCCAATTCAGCAATGGAGTCCCGCTTCTGTGCACGCCACTCTACCAACACAGCAAGGATTGGTGTGACTCAGACGAAAGCACCAAGGACCCCCATAGACTAACGCATCCTCACAGAAACTCTTGTGCGGCTGCGCATAGTCACACTTGGTCCATCGTGACTGTCCTTGAAACACAATGACGGTGCTGGGCTGCGAGAAGTCTTGGTCAACAACTTGTCAAACTGCCAAGTCAAATACTTCGTGAGGGCCCTTGCTGTCATAGGGCTCTCTAACAAACCTTCCCTTATTGCAAAATCCTTCTCCCGCTGTAACAATTTCAGCTTCTCTACTGCACTTGTTTCCGCATCCATGGAGTATGTTAGAATAACTAGGCAAGAATGATTGAAAGGAGAGGGGGTTGAACTAGCAGGCAGTTGAGTACAAATAGCAAACCCTAGATTGGGCTGTACTCGCTATAGAGTACCCCACTGCAGGCTAGACAATAATAGCATTCTGACACACCCCCATAGCCAAAGTGGGGTGTAATCAGCAGAGCAAGCAAAGCAGTACAAGCTCAGGGTGGATCACAATGTCACCACACATTCTGAGCACAAGTTCAAGAAGCAATAGTTTAAAGTTCACAGTTATGAGCAAAGCTAGAGGCAGTCACAGAGGGCAAGCGAGGAGGAGGAGGGCTGGCGAGAGGAGAGAAGATGAAAGGCGCCGACTGAAGCTGCAGACACACGGGCAACAGGAGCGGCGCGCACAGTGGCTACCGAGCGCACGAGGGCACCGGACTACGGGAGTATCTGGCTCCGCGGCTACGACGAGCACACACAGGAGCAACGGACCCACAGGCGACTGGCGAAGCAGGCTCGCTGGGCTACCGAAACGCGCGAGGGCATCCGGACTACTGGCGCTGCTGGCGTCACGACGGCTACCTCCACGCAATCTCCCCCGACCGTCCCACGCCCCTCTCACACACCCCCTGCTGACACCCTAGCTCCACTCCGACGGTACCCCCCTTAAACCCCAAACCCTAGGCTCCCACACACCACCCCCCTCAGCGGCAGCTGTAGCAGAGGGAGACGAGGGAGGAGGAGGAGCAGGGGGAGGAACTCACAACCGACACCCCCATAGCCGCCACCCCCACACTCTTCACCCCCAAACCCTAATTCAGGAGAACGGGCTGTAGGAGGGGTGAGGCGCCGGTAGAAGCACGGGGGACAGTGGAGAGGGCAGGAGCAGCGAGGAACGGGCCGCCCACGGGCCTGGTAGAGCCGCCCGAACCGCGCGCAGGCGGCCCGAGCCGCGCGCGGGCCTGGCGCTTCCCGTACGGGCCGCGCGCGTGCCTGGCGCAGCCCGTACGGGCCGCGCGCGGGCCTGGCGCAGCCCGTACGGGCCGCGCGCGGGCCTGGCGCAGCCCGTACGGGCCGCGCGCAGGCCTGGCGCAGCCCGTACGGGCCGCGTGCCGGGTGTACGGGCCGCGCGCAGGCCACGACGGGCGACGGGGGGCGACGCGCGGGTCCCCGTCGCCCGTCGCAGCGCCTCCCGGGGGCGACGTGCCGAGTGACGGGGCAGGAACCCGCCGCGCGCCTCGGGGCACACGGCGGGCAGAGAACCGCCGCGCGCCTCGGGGCGCACGGCGGGCAGAAAACCGCCGCGTGCCTCGGGGCGCACGGCGGGCTGAAAACCCTAGTTTCGACGCCGCGCGCCACGGGGCGCGCGGCGGACAGGGAGTAGCAGTAGCAGTAGCAGTAGCAGCGGAAGGCTTAGGTGGTGGGCCCACCCACAGGATCGACCCAGGAGGGTCGACCTGCTCTGATACCATGTTAGAAGAACTAGGCAAGAATGATTGAAAGGAGAGGGGGTTGAACTAGCAGGCAGTTGAGTACAAATAGCAAACCCTAGATTGGGCTGTACTCGCTATAGAGTACCCCACTGCAGGCTAGACAATAATAGCATTCTGACAGAGTACCCATGTTGGAATACACCCATCGAGCTGGATGCCTGCTACGTGCCCGGATCGACTCAGTGCGTCTGCTTTGCTGTGTAACCCTGGCTTGTAGACGATGTTGCAGTGGAAATGGCTTTCAAGGAAGTCCAACCACCGTTGTGAGAGCGTCGGCTGCGACTTCAGGTATTTGAGGCTGCAGTGGTCAGTGTATACTGTGGTCTTGGCTCGTTTCAGATAACACCTCCACGCCTTGAAGGCTGTAACTATCCCAAAGGCTTCCTCATCGTGGTTTAGGGAATTTATTTCTACTCTGTGTAGCATTTTAATGAGGTATGTGAAGGGTTGCAAACCACGTTTGTGATCCTGCATCAGTACTGCTTCGACTGCCTGGTCACTAGCGTCTACTTCCACCGCATAGTCTCTCTCTGGATCCAACAGGGTGAGCAATGGGATGTGGTTATTGCTGTCTGTACTATTCCATGGCTTGTTGCTGAGGAGTATCCCATATATAAGGAGTAACGTTTTTCAGTAAGTTCATCACTTTGAACTGTACTTTCCAACGTATCCTTATCTTCTCAGATTTCCTAGTGCCACGTGACACTTTACTTTTCTTGCACTCCAATTCCTAGTCCTACAAACCACTTTCCCACATCCGATCTCGCATGCTATATCAACCTTGCTTGTACTTGCCGATATCAACCAATTCTCATTCTATTACTCAGTAACTCCGCCGCCTATTTCGCAAAAACTTTCTTTGCCAAAGTCTTCCGTTGTGTTTCATCTTCGACTTAATGGAGCCCTCTATTCCTAAGCGGATTTTGGCCAATGGGCCTTATGCTTAGAATCAGAGCCTTCGCGGGGAGCGACTTCCAACGAGCGACCGTCGACGACGAGACTACGACGTCATCGTCCCGCGGTGCCGACTTGCAGACTTGGAGTCGTCGAGCCAACATGGACGAGACCATGAACGCTCTCCCCAACAACATGGGCAATGCGACCCAACTCATGCGCCAACTCGTAGCGTTGACACTGGAAAATCGTCAGGTACGAGCTGAAATGCAACAGCTTTGTGAATTGACTTCTAACCCCCATGGTCATGACACACCAGCTCCTGTGCCCCACGCGTCAACGGGCACAGAAGTGCTGCCGGAACGTCGAAGTGCACTCAAGCCGTAGAAGCCCAAGCCGCTCGACCCAAGTCAACGCGACGCAAACGTGCGGACGTGGCTCTTCATGCTCAACTACCACTACTATACTGTATCAGTAGGAGGTCTTTCTCCATGGTTGACAGTCGTTGAAACAATCGCTCCAGTGCGACGGTGCTGATCGTAGTTGTCGCCTTATTTGTCGCAGCCCCGTTGGGTTGTCAGCCGTCAGATGGGTTTGGCCTCCGGATCCACCAGCCATCTTGGTCTTGGATCATGTGCCGCTCACCAGTTTTCGGTTAAGCGAATTTTACGGAAGTGGGGACGCGAAGAATCCGTGAGTTGCTCCCATACCATGTTACAATCCTAAGATGGACTTAGCCAGGGATCGGCTCAGGGTTGTTCGTAGGTAGTTTTGCAGCAGAAGCAGGGCCTCATATTGGTTTTTGGGTACCCTGAGCACTCAATATCCCTAGGAGGATAACACTGATTGTCAGTGTCGTCTGGGGTGAAACACTGATTTTACAGGGTATTAGTGTCAGAATCCCTAGGCAAGAATGATGAACTAGTAGAAGTTTGGGTACAAATATGAAACCCTAGTTGGGGTTGTACCCCATATTGGCTACCCCACTACAGCCTACAAGCATACTACAGTTTAACACACCCCCATAGGCAAAGTGGGGGAGAACAAAGGGTCACAAGACCAGTCCAGCAAAGCAAAGCAACGCCCAGGGTGGATCACAACGTCACCACACTCCGAGCACAAGTAAAGGCCACAAGGCCAGTTCACATGCAGTGCTAGATATAGTACAAGACAAGCAACACAGTGATCAAAACCTAGCAAGCAAGCAACAAGATATATATAAAGTACAGTACAAAGAATGTCAAGCAGTGAGCAAGTGAGGAAACGTGGACACAAGGCCTAAAGAAGTACAGTGCCGCTGATGATCACTAGGCGGGAGCGCCTTGGTGAAGATATCAGCAGTGTTGGCCTTCGAGTCCACGTACACAAGCCGAAGCTGACCGCGCTGCTGAAGCTCTCGAGCAAGAAAGTAGCGAAGAGCAATGTGCTTCGTCCTGTGCTCCAGTCTGTGCTCCTGACACAAGGCAAGAGCCGCCTTGTTGTCACCGTACAGAACTGGAGGAGAACTAGGCCGCTCTCCCAAGTCAGTCAGCAGGTAGGTGAGCCAGCGTAACTCCTGTGCAGCCATGGCTGTGGCGTAGATCTCAGCCTCACAACTAGAGCCGAGAACAGAGGAAGAGCGGGTGGACCGCCACGAGACAGAACCTGAGCCAAGGCTGAAGGTGTAACCCTGTGACGACCGCTGCGTAGCCAGGTCGTCCACCCAAGAGGCGTCCGAGTGACCAGTGAGGACAACTCTGTCGCGTCCTCCAAGCACCAGCCCCATGCCTGATGTACTGCACAGGTAATGCAGCACCCTCTTAGCAGCCTCCCAGTGCTCTCGCCTGTGTCTCCCAGGCGCAACGTAACGAGCAAGGATGCTAAGAGGGTACGCGAGGTCAGGTCGCGTGCAAGTCATCAGGTACATGAGGCAGCCTACAAGCTCTGGGTACGGGCCACTCGGCTCTACGGGCTCGTCCGAAGGTGGAGCTGAGAGCGAGTGGCTGGTAGCCAGAGGTGTGGCCTGTGGTGAGGAGAACTGGAAGCCGAAGCGCTGAAGGACCTGCTGCACCATGTGTGACTGAGTCAGGGTGATGGTGCGGCGAGCTCTGTCCCGGGTGATCTGCAGGCCAAGGTAGCTACGCAGTTCACCCAGGTCAGTGCAGGTGTGTCTCTTCTGCAGCTCCGACTTCACACGAGCGAGTGCCTCAGTGTCAGCAGTAGCAAAGACCAAGTCGTCGACGTACACGAGGATGTAGAACGGCGGCAGCGACGTGTCTGTGCGCAGAAACAGCGACGGGTCAGCAGTAGACGGCGCGAACCCAAGAGCCGCAAGAGTAGTCCTCAGTGTGTCGTGCCACTCACGTGGCGCCTGGCGGAGACCGTAGACTGGCCGGCGGAGACTCCACTGGGTACCAGGGGGAAACGACCCAGTAAAGCCAGGTGGGCGGCGCAGCCAGATCTCCTCGTGCAGGCTGCCCTGCAGGAACGCTGTGCTGAAGTCAAGAGAGTGAAGCTCGTAGTCACGCTGAGCAGCAACGTGCAGCAGAACCCGAAGAGTGGTCATCTTCGGGGTGGGGGAGAAGGTCTGGAAGAAGTCGACCCCCTGACGCTGACTGAAGCCTCTAGCAACGTAACGAGCCTTGAAGACAGGCGGAGAACCTGGCGGCCGCTTCACCCTGAAAATCCACATGCCATCGACGATGTTCGCCCCAGGAGGGGGAACCTCGTCGACGTAGGTGCCTGTGGACTTCCAGGATGCCATCTCTGCGTCCATGGCTGTCTGCCACTGAGAGGAGTAGGGACCCGAGATCGCCTCTGCGTAGGTGCGCGGAGTGGGGATGTCTAGTGCATCCGGGTCTCCCTCAGGGGCAAGCAACCAGGCCACGAGATGAGGTACAGCAGCCGCAAGTGAGTCAAAGTCCTCCTGCCTGTCCTCAAGGACGTCCGTGCCAAGAGCACACTCACCCCCGACGGACGGAGGACAGACTGACGCAGACTCTGACTCAGCGACAAGGCTAGCAGCGTAGTCTAGACGACAGGCAGCAGCAAAGTCAACCAACTCAGCGACCAGAGCAGACGCAGCCGAGGACTCAAAGGTGGGGTCAGTGACAACAGTAGCAAGGAGACGCGTGACTGTAGGGTGCTCAGCGCGATACCGGTCAGACTCAGGGTCCGGAACGGCAGGCAAAGAGGACGCAGGAGGAGACGGTAGAGGGACACGCCGAGGAGCAGTAGAGGGACGCAGAGTCATGTAGTGAGTGCCTGGGACAGGCGGAGGACGCTCACGACGGACACGACTACCAGTGCGAGCAGGACGAACAGGCGACGCAGGACGAGACTCAGGCTCACGACGCTCTGTAAGACCTCATGTGGGACCAGTATAAGGAGAGGGAGCAGGGAGAGGCGAGGCAGGTGGTAACTGTGACTGCGGCTGGACAGGCGGAGGACACTCTACGGAGGGAGGAGGACAAGGAGGAGGAGCCTGCCCAAGAACCTGCTGAAGGAGCGGTACGAAGTACGGTCGCGGCCGCGCAGCGTCTCTAGAAGCAGAAGGGACTCCAGCGGCCGGGTCCTCAGCACCAGTAGGAGCTCCAGCGTCCGGGTCCACAGCACCAGCAGCAGCTCCACCGGCCGGGTCCCCAGCTCCAGCAGCAGCTCCACCGTCCGACTCCTCAGTACCAGCAGCAGCTCCACCAGGTGGGTCCGCAGCACCAGCAGCAGCGCCACCCCCAGAGTCGGGAGCTCCAACTCCGCTAGCACCGCCAACGCCAGAGTCCCCAGCTCCAGCAGCTCCAGTCGCAGCGCTCCCAGAACAGCCAGTCCCGGCAGCTCCAGTACCCCCAGTACGAGCACCCCCAGGACGAGCAACTCCAGCACCCCCAACTCCAGCCGAGCCACTAGGACGGCGAAAGCGTCGGACGTACCAGTCACGAAGCTGCTGCGGTGTGAGAGACTGCTCAGCACCCCGAACCGGAGCACCCCCAGACACAGTAACCCGAGGCTCCGTAGGCTCAGTAGCAGCACCCCCAGGCTCAGTACCCGCAGGCTCAGTACCCGCAGGCTCAGCACCCCCAGTCGCAGCACCCCCAGGCTCAGCACCCCCAGGCGGCAAACTCTCAGGCACAGTACCCTCAGCCCCAGCACCCGCAGTCCCAGCACTCCCAGGCCTCGCACCCGCAGGCTCAGCACCCCCAGGCGCAGCACCCCCAGGCTCCGTACTCTCAGGCACCGTACCCTCAGCTCCAGCACCCTCAGTCCCAGCACCCCCAGGCCCAGCACCCCCAGGCTCAGCACCCCCAGGCTCAGCACTCCCAGCAGCACCACCCGCAGCAGCACCTGAGTCACCTGTGACCTCGACAGGCTCAGCGACGGGAGGAGGGTCTACCTGAGAGACACCTGAAGGAGCAGGACCCTGAGGGGGAAGGGGGTCTACCGGAGGGGGACCAGGAGCAAGGAAAAGCGGCGGGGGAGGGAGGGGGGCAGTGCGGTAGGGGAAGAGACGGTAAAAGGGGACCGACTCGTCAAAGGTGACATCCTGAGAGGCGAAGACCCGGCGCGAGGTGGGGTGGTAAAACTGCCAGCCAGGCGCGTCAGGGACAAAGCCAAGGAAGACACAGGGAAGCGTGCGGGAGGAGAGCTTGTCCGCAGACGTATCGCGGACAAGGGCACGAGCACCCCACACCCGGAAGCGCGACGCATCGCCAACCTCCCCCGTCCAACGCAGTGTGGGCGAGGTCTCCGGCAAGGAGACACGGGGCCAGAGGTTGAGCTGATGCGCGGCGTACCGGACAGCAAACGGCCACAGAAAATGGGGAGCCGCCGCGTGGACCAAGGAGGTACGAGCGACCTCCATGACCAGGCCAATGCGACGCTCAGCAACCCCATTCTGCTGTGGGGAGTCCGGAAGCGTGAAGGTCTGCTCGATGCCCTCCGCCTGACAGAAGGTCCTCAAGAGGTCGGAGGAAAACTCACCACCTCTGTCAGAGTGCAGACGCAGGACAGGAAGATCCGTCCGGAAACGGCGGCGGAGCTGGAGACGAACCGTGCGGATCCAAGGGATCAGAACAGCAGGGACCTCACCCTTGGTGCGCAAGGGGAAGACCGTGGTGTAACGCGAGTAGTCGTCGACAACCAGCAAAAAATACCGCTCACCGCCCTGACCACGAACGCGGGCTGGGCCCCACACGTCCAGGTGGAGGGTCTCCAGAGGAGCCTCTGTCGGGGGGAACGAGGAGGAGTGAGGAGCGGCGCGCTGCCGCCCCTCGACGCAAGGAAGGCAAGGCGGCGCAGGCGAGGCAGGGAGGGGAGGGAGGGACCTGGGAAGACCGGACACAAGGAGGCGACGGTGCATGCCACGAAGGCGTGGCAAGGAGGGGTGACCCAGGCGGTGGTGCCAGAGAAGAGTCTGGTGCGACAGGGAACGACACTCACAGGCGTGGGCCACCAGACCTGACGCAGACACCTGACCGACAGCAGCTACCTGGGGAGACGCAGTGGTCAGTGTGTAGAGACTCGACCCCGGCCGACGGGTGAACGTAGCCAGGTGACGGCCGGTCCTGGAGCACGTGCAGATCGCCACACGCTGTCCGCCAGGGGTAAAGGTGTCAACCCACTGATCCTGGAGGACAGCGTTGCTCACCAGGTTCGTCGAGAACGAGGGGAGGTGGAAACCCGACAACGAGCCAGACGGAACCGCCGGACAAGGGAGGACAGTGGTGGACTGGGCAAGGACTGGGCCCCCAGAGGGGTCAGCCAAGGAGACTGGGACCGGTGCAGGAAGCGGTGTGAGCTCAGTACTGTCACGAAAGAAGCAACGGGAAGCACCTGAGTCAAGGGTGAAGGTGTGACAGGCCTCAGCCGGTGCGGTACCTGAGAGAGCAGTCGCTGTGGGTGCTGTACCTGAGAGAGCAGACTCGAAACCAGCCGGGACAGCACTGGAGGGAGCAAGTACAGGGGGCACCATACCAGAGAGAGCAGACTCACTAGTACCAAGGGCAGCGGGCTCTATACCTGGGTCAGGCGGCACACACAGGTAACAGTCTCCCTCGGCACTAACAGTCAATGCATACATGGCAGCAATAATAGCATCATAGTCAAGAGCAAAGACATCAACACCAGCCCTCATGAGCTCAGCCCAGCGGGGGCGCTCAACATCCGCACCCATCTCCTCACGCCAAGCGTCGTCAAGGCGGGAGAAGCAGCGGTACGGGGTGTGGAACCTCCCACACGTCTGTCCCTTGCGGTCACCTGTGCGAATGACATAAGAACAGCGGGCACTGGCCCCCGACGTCCCACGCTGAGCAAGCCACTCACGAAGCTGCTGGGTCGTCTGGGGACGCTGCTGCTGCTGGGAGCTCTGGCCAGAGCCAGTGCCTCCACTCCGACCTCCGCCGCCACCACTACCACCGCTCCGACCGCCACCGCCACCACCGCCACCACCGCCACCACCGCCACCGCCGCCGCCGCCACTACTGCCACTGCTCCCTCCGCCGCCCCCGTCTCCACCACCGACCCCACTCCCACCAGCGCTCCCGCCACCGCTCCCTCCAGCACCGCCTCCCCCCCCACCTCCCCCACCTCCTCCCCCACCAGCGCCACCACCACCACTTTTGCCCCCCTTGCCCTTGCCGGTGCGGCGCCTCCCACCAGGAGTAGAAGCAGCGCCAACAGACTCAGCACCAAGGAAGTCAACAGCAGCAGCAGCAGCGTAGGAGGGAGCGAGGGGAGAGGGAGAACACCCCTCAAAGATGGGGGTGCGAGGAGCGCCACGAGCAGCACCGACAGCTACAATGCTCTTTTCGGCCGCGAGCAGGTGCTCCTCTAGGAGGGCGACTGTGAGCTCAGTGGGACAGCGAGCAAGGAAGTGGTCTCGAACTGAGCGGAGGGTGTCAGGCCCTCAGATTCGTTTTGAGCCACGCTTTTTAGACAATGTTGGTCCCTGGAAAAGCACTTTCTATCAGTGTTGACAAAAAAAAAAAACCCTGAAAAATCAGTGTTGTAGTGGAAAAAAAAACTTCCCGGTCAGTGTAGGTACAAAAATGTAGGCTGATTGTGACTGACTGATAACAATGTCAAAAAAAGCATGGTTACAAAAGATTGGGGAGGAGAGTTCAACATAGATTCAATCACACGGACATACATAAAACAAACTACCTACCTACCTACCTTGTACCTACCTACCTCCTTTCCTATCCTATCACATATCATCCCCCTCATCATCACTATCTTGTTCCTTATCTTCCTCATCCCCAGCCTCTACCTCTTCCTTCCCCCTCCGCCTCCTCTCATCCTGCCTGGCTATGGTGCAGGTGTTGAATGGCTTACGCTTCTTGTAGTTGCGCTAGATCTCGACGATTTCGTCCCAATTGGGATCGTACTTGAGCAATGACATGCACATCAGGTCGCTCAGACGAGCATCCTTAAGGCTGCCTCGCTGCCAGGACTTGAGAATGTTCTGGCGCGAGAAACCGCGCTCGCACTCAACGGTGCTCAGCGGCAAAACCGCCACCGCCACCCACAGCCGCACCAGGTTAGGGAAGTGATCCTGCCAGTCATTAGTCTTGAGGATGGCAGTGAGCCCAGTGTGGAAGCCGCGCTCACTCTTCGGTGCACCTGCAAGTACGGGAATAAGCAGCCGCAGCTCCTTGAATGCTTTCTTCTTCTCGATGCCTGCAGTCACTCATAAGGCAACGAACAGAAGCAGAGATAGAAAGAAAACGTTAAAATCAGGGGAGGAACAAAGAACTTACGAGAAACTATAAATATTCCATCCATTTAAGAGATTTCAACATACAACAATGAGCTTACCGGACAAGATTTCATCGTTGTCCTCCACCCCAAAGAGAGTGATCAATGACTCCAGAAACTCATTACACTTTGCATGGCGCTCATGCCTGCCATAAGGCCAGCTGTCGGGAGTGAACAAGCTCACGCCCGACAGCTTGTCAAGGTCCCCCAACCGATCCAGAAGGTTGGCCACAATGAGCTCCGCGAACTCGGTGCAGATGTCGAGACAGGCGTCGTGGTGCCTGGGTCCTGGATAGTCGACCAACTTCTCCTCGTGCAGCGTGAACGTGAAGGTGGTTGGCCTCCCATCTGAGTCAACGCCCTCGATGCTGACGTCCCGGGTGCCGTTGACCCCATGGTTCTCCAGCCATGGTGAGAGCTTGGTGCTGAGACCGCCACCGAAATCGTCCCCGCAGTCCACGTAACGGGCCTCAAGATGGTCCGTTGAATCTGCGCATGAACAGCAGACAGATCAAGCTGGGGTGGAGGCAAGGCACAATCAGAGTACAAACATAGGTTAGATTAAAATGTATACGGACAAAACATGGATCCATACATGTACACAGAGGGAGCTGGGCATGAGCACTTGATACGCACCTGTTGTCGCTAGAACGTCCTGCTCAAGACATTCATCTGGTCGAGGACGTCAGATAGGAAAAGGAGCAGAAAGTGAAACCTGTACGACGTCACCACAGTGTAAAGTGTCGAGTTCCACTCCTTGAGCATCGTGATCACTGCGGGCAGGACCGCCACGAACCTGGCGATGGCATCACCACGAGATAACCACAGAACGTTGTGAATGCCCTGCAGCTCCAGGTTGGTCTCGGTGAAGACTTCCTGCAGGTCCCTGAAATGCTGATGCCAAGGACCAGATCTGCCCAGATGCTCGGCGATTGCACGGACGGTGGTATCGATCATGTTGAAGACGGGCAGGCTCTCTGCCGCATCCTTTGCCGCAAGTGCCTCACAGCAACCACAAGCAAGCGTAAACTCAATGTTACACGTTGAATATTAATGCCAATTAAGCGAAACGTTCAAGACAATACAAGATAATAAAGCAAATGAAAGCAGGAAACGAGCTTCGCATACCAGTGGGCAATGCAGTGACAAGATACGAGGTGCGGAATGCGAAGACGCAGCCGTGCCACCAAGCCCGACTTCGATCACATCATCACGGACGCCCCATCAGTACTGATGCCCGCGATGCGCCGAATGTCCACACCACAGGACTCAAAATGGGACAGCAGAAATTGCAGAAAGGACGCTACATCCGCCTTGTCGACGGTCAACAATGCCATGAACTCCGTAACGACGCGGCCGTCGCGGATGAAGGTGGCGAAGAGAATCAGATGTTGAGAAGGCGCGGAACCAAGAGGGCAACGCGCATACGGCATCCGGCGAGGCAGATGAATCAATGGAGTCGCTTGTATTATTGGCTGGTGACGGGAATAAAACTCCAAGCAATGCGTGGTTCCTCGAGACCAGCGCAACACAACACATGACGCATTTGGCGCCACTCCTCAACAACATTGGTGCACTGGGAGACATTGCACGTGTGGACTTTGGAGACGGCAAATTGTTGCCGGTGGTTAGAGTTGGGAATACTCGTCTCATCATCGATGGCGGACCGGTGGAAATCGCGAATGTGCTTCATGTCCCGGGGTGGAAGGAGAATCTTCTTTCCGTCATGCAATTTGCAAGGAAAGGCGTGACCGTCGCCATCAACGACACGAAGATGAACCTTTTTTGGAAGGGGAAGCAATTCACACAAAGCGTTCTCAACGGACACCTCTACCAGCTCAAGACGCACCCAAAAGCAGCTTCATCCTATGTGACGCAAGGCTCGAAGCCGACTCTTAAGGTGTGGCATAATCGGCTTGCGCACGCCAACTACGGGTGAGTCAAGGAGTTGGCCGACAAAGGACTTGCAAGGGGCTTCGACTTGACAATGAGAATTCAATCCTGTATCACTTGGTAATCAGAGCCGTTCTGACTCGACAACTCTCGGCTAAGTAGCGGTCACGGAAAAATCGCCTTGAAAACCGCAGGGGCGACCAATTCGACGGCGACTTCTAGTTAGCACCAGTTTCGCGCTTTTTGTTTTAACCCCCTCACGTGGTTTTTTAACATGATGGGTTCGCCGGTGACAACCGATGTTACGCAGCAGCCCTTCTCGCAAATTGCCAAGATGGGAGCAGAGATGCGAGTGGTTACCAAACAATCGCGAGCAACTCCGAAACGAACTTCTGCGCGTTATGTAGCTCTTCACAACCATGTCGGTTCTTGCTTCGGCGACTTCGCAGCAGTCGCATATCGAGGTTCATCATATCGAGGTTCCAAAACTCTGCTCGCCAAAATCGTCCGACCCCGGCGATTGGAAATCAGACGTCAAGCGATTGCTTGTAACACGCAACAATGTTGATACGCGGTCCGACTCTGGAGTGGGTCGGAAGCAACGGTAGAATTTTCCAGTGCAAAACCATGTGGCAGCAGTTTTGGGCAGACTTGCTGAAATGTTTCGAGTCGAAAAATTCTACTTATATTGCACGTAAAGAAAAACTACTTAACCATCGGTAATATGGGAGTGTGGCGCAATACACGCGGAAGATGGAAGAATTTTGTAACTGTGTTTCAGACATTACCGAGGGAAAAACAATTTAGTCCTACATTGTGGGGCTGAAAAACGATATTTGTCGCCACGTTGCAGCAGCTACTACGAGATCGTATCGACCGCGAAGCCTTTTTACTTAGTCAACGCCAGAACACGACGACCCCATGTCGCCGGAACACAACGACCCTAAGTCGTCGGATCATGACAAGGGGACCGTTCGTCTTCAGCCATGTTCGCCGACCCCATGGAAGTCATTAAATCTGACGCGAAGTGTTGCGTTTTTTGCGGCGCAAACGGACATCGAATTGTCGACTGTTTTCACATGAAACTTGCACATGCAGCACTTCAAGCTCGAGAGAGTGGCGAAAATGAGGACAAAGGGTAATAAAACGCATCTCGCGAGCAATCACGGATAGTGCTGACGATAATAAAAAGATCTGAAAGCATGAGCGCGATCTGGACCAAAGCCCGATCGACAAACAGGATTGGGTGCGAAATTTGGAGCATCAAGGGTGAAACCCCAAGCCTCTTGGCCGGGCTTTATCAGAGGGATTCGTTGAGGAAACAAAAATCTTTGCGAAAATAGACTCGACCAAGGCGCGAACACCCTAATCCGACCTTCCACTTCGCCATCCGCAGCTCCAGTTCTCTTCACTCCGATGCCGGACGAAAATCAGGTTGGCAGCAAGGTTGGGCACCTAAAGCACGTTCTTGAGGCCCACCATCTTCCCATCAGCACCCTTAAACATGGCCTTGCCCATGCCTTTCACCTCTGCTTGCTGCCCCAAAGCCGATGTGACATGCTTCACCGGTGACGGTTCGAGTTCGGTGAGCAAGTCCACACGAGGTGTCATGCTATAGGTAGCGCCGCTATTAATCACCAAATAGTCCAGGTGTTATATTCACAGTAGGCTTCAATGTGCCTAAAACGAAAGATAGAGTGCACAGTCGGATTTCGGCACAGCGGCTTTAAACGTTCATAGCGTTCTGGTCACTGCTTCAAATGACCTGATTCAACTTGGATCTGGAGCGTTTTGAAGTCACCTACAATAGGCAATTTAGATCGCACGATTTCACCAAGTATTGACGGCACAGCGTCGGTTTGAACGAACGGCACTATGGCAGCCACTATAGTCTTAGAACACAAGATAGGAAGAGTTAGGAAGAGTTACGAGTTGGGAATGACTCCCAGCTCCTACAAACCCCAAGAGCCAAGGTACAGTGATGTGGAACAGTGCCAGACTGTCCCCAACCACGAAGGGTCTCGAAACTACCCTTCACTAGGGCCTACACCAAGTGAAATGTTACACTACACAAAGTAATGTAACTATCTTCAATTTCTTGAGGTGTACCCTTTTGGCGAGCTTCGCGATCACTTGAATGTTGACACCAGGGCTCGGGTTCTTCATCACAAACTCATCCTTGAGTTCTTGATGGGTCTGCTGCACACACCTGCGACACGCCGAACGTTCGACAAGCGAAAAAATAGAAACCGCGCACGACAAAATAGAAACTGCGCGGGACACACAAAATGACCGCGTAACACGCGACTAGCGATAACTCGCTATTGACTTGACACACACACTCGACATCATGACCCATCATTCACACACTATTATAAGCATGAAATATATATTTATTTCATGCACTCATACCATTCCATGCACACACGCATGCACGCACACGG